AACTCCATTTGTGCCACACCTCATTCCCTCTGATACCAGTACCACCTCTTTATCCTCTTTGTTTCTGCCACAGACATGAATCACTGAAACTTTATCAGAAACTTCACATCCCCCATCAACGCTGTATAAAGCCTAAGCAAATATCATATCGTAGAACAGATAAGTGTGTATTATCACACACCTAATACTTATGAATGAGTATCAATGCTTTTTAAAATAATTGGACACAGTTTTGAGCAGCCATGATTTGAAGGAGGTGTCCATATGTTTGAGTTTACTAGAATCCAGATGTTGCTTAATCTGAACCCAGCAGTAGGAAGTGTTGACTTGCTCCCTCGGAGTTTCCACCCCGCCCATCGTCGTGACATAAAAGCAGTTTTATGGTTCAGTACTACCCTGCTTGCCCACCTAAAATAAAAGGTACTATTTCTTGTTTTACTAGAGTTAGCACAAAATACAGAACAGGTCAGGCTGCTGRGGAAAAACCTCCTGTGACTCAAAAGAAGCACACAGAAGAATTAAGCAATGTGTAAACAAAGGAGGTGTTGCTAAGTGAGGTCAGCAGTAATACTATGAAGGCTTGCAGGAGGTGGAAACACCACTCAACTGTAGCTGCTGGAGGTCTGTAATTTGTTCTTGGTTTTAAACCTTATTTATTAGTCTGTTTATYTATTTAGGACTGTTTCTAAATATACATTTTTCAGGTCAAACTAARCTAGATTTGAATAATCTTTGATAATTTGCTTTTTTATGTGAGTGTGAAGCCCCCATCCTTCCCTCCTGTAACATCTTTTGGCTATTAATAAATATCTAGGAAAACTTGGTCTGTTACTGCACATGAAATCAAATTAAAAATGAACTGAGAACTGAACATWATTATAAATTTAACTACAATCTGATCTGGATTTTTGATTGTTAGACAGCATAAATTGTCTACCATTAACAGGTCGTGTTAACACTTCAACCTTGGAAGCAAACATTTTGAATTGCTGCAAAAATAATTGTGGACATGATGATTTGGTGTGATGATTTGGTGGAAATCTGCTACTACCACTGAGTGTTGTACTCCAAACATAATTTTGTTGCCTTTTTTGACAATGACAATAAACTCTTGAATCTTGAATTGAATCCTGATCATTTTTACGAAATTAGTTTTTTACAAAAACTTGCAATTTGTGACTGTCTTGAATTTCTTGTGTTATTGATGTGCACTAAAAGCCCTTAAAGACAAACGTGAGCTTTAACTTGCTCTACAGTCAATGTTTGTTTGCTCTAATGACATATTGTGACCCCCAAAAGCTTCAAGTGCTAAACATTAGGTCTTATGTAACGCAAGTTGTTTAATGGTCTATTTTTAGGCGTCCCTAAACCACAGTTGAAGTCAGACCAATTAACTAGCTATTTTTGCATTAGTCATTCTAGAACTACTAATGACAACATAAGAAAATATTTTTTAACCCGAGAGCCACATGGCCTTAGTTGAACCAACTAAAAGGCCTCAAATAAAAAAAAAAACAATCTGCTAGACATTAATCTTTATTTCAAGACCAAAAAGGGTGTCTTGTTGTTGTTAAAATTTGTGGTTTCCTGGGATATGAGAATGTGTGRCATTCTGTGGCAATTTTTCCTTTTCGAAACATCTAAAGGCCCCGCTACACCATAAAGTTTTAGACAACCTCTGCTGACTTGTGAAAATTTCGTTATGAATAAATTCCCATATAGGTTATATATTTACATTACAGTATGTACATGATCAAAATAAGCTCCCATTTTTTATGCTGTCTTCAATGTAGACATTTTCTGCTTTGAACAAAATCTTCACAAGTTGGTGTAAGTTGTGATGAGCACATCATTCGATGTAAAAAAAAAAAGGTAACTGAGCGCACAAAACATTTCATTGCCATTTGTTTTTTTTAATCACCTCCAGYTTTATGTATAAAATACTATGTTTCTTTTCTTCACTTTCATTGGTTTTGGTTTTATTTGAGAAAAACTGGGGCTGAATGGTGATTGGTCGAAGTCCYTTTCTGACCCCTGGGCCGTATTTTATCTGTATCTCTTGAACCTCACCAATGTGCCACTACAAGCCTGCTGTTCTTGGCTCAGGCTTTAAATGTTCTGAAGACCTCATTTAACAGATATGCAAAAAAGTCCTATAGTTTGTTTTGGTGGAAATCAGTACATCACAAATTCTTTCAAATGATCACAATCAGCAAAWTCTCAAACAACAGAAGCGATAAACAGAAAAAAGCTAACAAGTTGAACTTGCCAGCAATCACTTTGCACCTCCCTATAGTCGTGTTCTGGCCCTCTGAGTTCCATCAATCTAAGGTGTTTACTGTTGATCCTTTSTTAGATTTCAAGGGGATWAGRTTCTCCATCCAATTCTCTTTGCCTCTCATCATATAAGACATTGCAAATMAGCTTAGAGCAATATTATTATGTGGTTTGTCAGGCTGTATAAACAATTCCCCTGCTCGCTTTGAATTTCTCATCATTCTTCTTCATGWAAAGCCTCTCCATCATTTCTTCTCTTCTCTCCTGCTCCCAGCCAGAGCTCATCTRTGCGAAGCCTGTAGGAGAGTTATCAACACTTGCCTTGCAGTCCCAAGAGACAAGAAAGCAATTTAGTTTCGTTGTAATGATTCTAATATCTGTATCATTTTGTTCTGCAGCTTTCTGAGTGCATCTATCTGTACAAGTGCAATGCTGCACTGCACAAAGACAGCACAAATATGTGGGAATTCTGGGATTTGGCAGTCATTGTACACAATTAAAAGTGTTGGATAACYTTCTAACACATTTTTAATGTTTAACAGAACGTGCAGTACAAAAACTTATTAATACATTTGAGCATTTTCATTTATTTTAACCACAAATCATAGCTGAGATTGAACACTTGTACATAATGTACAGTAAAAAAAGTCATGTTCAAAGCTGAGGGTAATTATGAAAGCTGAATGGAATCAAAGGGGAGTCTAGTAAAACAAAATTTAATTAGAAGTATTGATCAAAGGTGTTAGCATTTATCCAGCAATGATAAATGGTGTTCCTTTTATATTGGGTTTAATGTTTCTGCTCATGAGTTTCACCCAATCATTGAAGATKGTTAGACAGCATAAACTGAAGATAGGTCAGCCTGGAGTCATTTCTCTATGGTGGACCTGTCTCCCAACTGTTTCTACTGTTTTACAGATGGATCCCTTCTGAAGGGGTCAGTAGGTGCAGGGGTGCTGATTTTGCACAACCTCAGTGAAAGAGAGTACAGATAGCCTGCTCACTTGGTGGTTTTGTAAATGTATCTCTAGTTGAGATACATGCAATCCACCAGAGTGTGGCATCTCTCAAAGAGCTTCAGTGTATGCAGAAGGGAACGTTCATCCGAACAGCCAAGCTGATATTAGAGCTCTTCAAGGGTCACGCTTTACGTCATTACTGGCTTGGGAGTGTGCCGAAGCAGTCAACCAACTGGGAAGAGAAAACAGTGTTACTGTTAAATGGGTACCAGGACATACTGGTATTAGTGGTAACGAGAGAGCTGACTGCCTTGCAAAAGCTAGCAGTCAGAAAAGGACTTTAAAGGACCAGGGGTCAGATTTATAAAGGATTGCGTGGAAACCATGCTAAAAGTGAACGTACAGCCAAAGGGCAAAAATGGCGTACGCCTAAAAAGATTCTGATTTAGAAAACCATGCGGTTGGAGATGCGTGAACTTTTATTTAACATTTAAGTTTTTTATTTCAAAGGTCCTCATGGCTAAGCAGCAGAAGCATAAATATTACTGTTAAAAAAGCTGATGATAAAGTTGAATAAAAATTTAAGTCTGATTATGAAGTGAAATTAAGTATGTGACAGTGATTATAATTCCTGGCTATAATTCCTCACTTCACCATCTGTGTCGCAGTTTCCCATCTTCAAAGTGAGTGTACGCATTGGTCAGAGCTGGCGTGAGGCACTGTACCATACGTCAAGTTTGGATTTTATAAATCATAACCTTTGCATGAAAAGTGGCGTACGCACGTTTCTGGGCTCATTTTGTGCGTACGCAAGCTTTATAAATCCGACCCCAGAGCTTGTTGTAGGTATTTCGACAACAGTCTGTAGGACTGCCCTACAGGCATGGATCAGACGTCAACACTCATTCCGTTGGAGAGAGCTGACGGATTGTAGATAGGCACGAGATCTGATAAATGGCCCAGATCTAAGGTTTGGGAAAGCTCTTGTTGCCCTGGTAAGGAAAACTTTAAATACACTTGTTGGAGTCCTAACTGGGCACAACTTGCTCAATTGCCACAAAATGGTGATGGGATTCCATGACAATGGTCTGTGTGATGCCTGTGGCATTGAATTAGAGACCTCTTTACACTACTGAGGTCAATGCCTGGCCCAGAGCAGTCAAAGGAAAATAATTCTTGGAGAACCTTTCATGGATCCCAAGAAGCTAAGAACAAAGTGTTTATAACCTTATCCTTTGATTAAAAGCTCTTTGTCTCTTTGGGGAGAATAATGGGCTCACTTATGKGGCCCCTGCTCACATGGATTTTTACCAATCCCCATTCACCAATACCAGTACCCATTTATAAAGCCAGAAGCTTTCCGTGAAATTTAAGCTTGCAGGGCATAACTCTACAAGGAAATTGCTAGATGGTCAACAAGCTAAATGTTTTTTGCACAACAGCACAAAAACACAACTTTAAAGCTACTGTGTACAGAAAATAAACATGAATTTGAAGGTAACCAGATATTTGACGATATATTATTCTTAAAGAAGGCTGTCTGGGTGGACGATTGCCAACCAAAGCTCGATATTGGCTGGATGAGGCAGAGGAGCAACAGCTCTCGACAACTCAGTGTCTTTTTTTCCTGTCTCATGCTGTGAAGAGGAAATAGGACATGGGTTTTGACCCAGTCTGTCTCATTTCCACAAATCAATAACATTACCATCTGTAGAGTGATGCAGTGTCTTCTGCTCATACCATTCTGTTTCTTTCACCCAACAGGAGACCACTGTCTACGAAAAGGAAAAGGARATAATCTCTGTTGTGAGTTTCTTATGTAGATGTTTTTTTTTGCTTAAAATTAAGCAACAATTTAATTATGTGCTACGCTCGGTGAAAACTGATTTCCTGTCTTGATAAATCGCGTTGTTTTYTTTCCTCTAGTGCCGTCAGCTGGTGGAGATTTGTGATGAGATCCTGAACTCCAGCCCTGACACGCTCCTAACCCATACAGCTCAGCTGGAGAGTGTTGACCTGGTGCCTGTTGCACCTGGTGACCAGTTGGTAAAATCATTTTTTTGTTGTTGTTATTGTTCCGTGTGGATGTAAAAATCTTCTTGTTTAATATGTGATGGAGATCCAATTTGGCACATTATGGATTTTATGGCTTTTCTCTACTGTGAGGTTCACGGTGACTTTAAAAGGCATGGGTTCCTGTCTGCTCACATGAAATTCTGCTGCGAAGTAAATTGAAAAGGTGTCATTTCAGCCTCTCTTGTCAAAATCAATTTCCCCCTCTTTGTCCAGGTCCTCTCTTTAGATATGGCTCATCCTTCAAAACTCTGTTCATCTCGCCTGTGCATCACCATTTTAGTCATTTGTGCCTTCGTTCTATCTCTTGATTACTTACTGTCTTTCTCTCACTCTGTCATTTTGTCCTTTTTTTTAGAGTTTATTTTCTGTCTCRGTCACTGACCCGGAACTGGCTTCATCCTTCGGTTCTATTCAACGCTTTTTTCATCTAACTCAAGGTTCCCCATGTTCCCACTTTTATTTCTGAAATCTGCTTTGATGTTTAGTTTGGTCACGTACAATATCCTTTTTTTCCTGCCTCTCATCCTTTAGTCTTGGAGTGTGTACATTTGGTACTATAATTATAGCTCTCTCGCTCTCTTTTATTTTTTTTGCTTGTTATCTACATAATCTAGCATCCTTTTAGTTTTCAATTCTAAAGAGCTATTTCTTTAATACATTTTCCCTGTTTTTCGTCGTCTTTGTGGACTTGGACCATTAAGTAAAAAAACCCTCTCATCAGATAGCAGTTTCAWATCTGTGCTTAGTTTCTTCTCCGGATCATATCCACTGTGTATGCACATTACATAAGCTCTGATGTTGTTTACGTCTCTGCAGATGTGTTTTAGCTGAACATTCAGAGTCATTTTTTGTGCCAATTTTTTGCACTAGAACAGATTAACACATTTATTCAACTTGAGGAGACAAAATCTGATAATACCAGCCTGATTGTTGGTAATTGATTAAAGCACATTACCGATAATGAGGCCAGCTCCACTAATAGATGGAGAGTAACAAGAACTAAAGACCGAGAGAAACAGAAGTGAGAAGCAGGAAGGATTATGTTTCCTATAAAACACGCCGTACCAAGAGTTAGTTCACAAGTACAAAATTAAAGGCTGAACGTTTTCTCTTTAGTATTTTGAGTCAAATTTCATTTTAATACCCTCACAAAGATTGAAAGGSAAATCTACATGTAGTCATTGCAGGTCTCACTAGTAAAAGGCAAAGATCACATTAGGTTTTAGAGTTCACTGTGGAAGTTTCAGAGCCTAAACTTTGAAAATAATTAATGAAAATTATAGTGACTGTGGCGAAACATTAACTCTTTGTTAACTATTGCATTTTTAAGGTCCAAATTAAAAAGATTGTTGAACTAAATCTGTTTAAAAAAGAAAGATATTTGGCCTAATTCCATTCMAATTTAATTAAATTAAATTAGTCATTTAAAAGGCATTATTTATGTGGTTTAGGCTTTTCTTGAACATAATTAGTTGTTTTTTCCTGCCCTCATTGTGACTTTTAGAGAATGAGAGTAAGCTAATAGCTTGTTCCACAGAATCCAGCTCTGACATGAGCGTGTTGCATCATTTTCACTCAGGGATGGGCAGATTTGACACTGCAGGGTGATGTTTTCAGCTGAACCATTGTTATCACTCAGAATTAATGCATGCATCATGTATTTTTTGTTGTTGTTTGTACTTCTCTCAGGGGATTGAGATAACATCCACCAGTTCCAGTAACCACTACGTGACTGGAGCCGCCGCTGAGGTCAGACTCCCGTGTTTTCTTTTCTTTTGTTTTTTTCTTTTTTTGTTGACTCATCTGACAAACTGTGTTAACCATCACCGYCATTCTCAGTTCTCCTCTTGAACTCGAAGTTAATGTAAATCAATGTTTGTCTCGGTCTCGGTACCATTGTGACTAATAGAGTAGAAAACCTAAGAACAGTGAGTGAGAACTTTAAATGCAGCCAAGTTTAGAGGGTTTCTGATAAGGTGCAGACAGGGGCGGAGCTAGACTTTTGTGCCAAGGGTGGCCAGGACTTTTTCAGGGTGGCACATACAAATAAAGTATTCTGTTTCTTGAACCTGGTACTGAAGGAACATACAGTACCTTCTTGACAATTTTCATAACCCAAAATGCATTTATCTATTTGTTTACTTATCTTAGTTTCTCTCACARACGCTCCACTCTCTCTCTCTCCACTGTTAGCATCTGTGACAACATGGAGGAGCAAAATGGTGACCAAGCTGGGCGTTGTTTCACAGTCTTCGTAGCAACTATTTGATTAACAGCAAGCCCAGCTGGATCTGTGTCACAATTTTTTTGTAATAAATTAATAAGGCTATTAACTATGCAAATTTCATTTGGCAATCATGTAAAACAACTAAGTGATAAAAGAAAAATATATAATTTATAAGCAACAATAATCTAAACCCGACCTGAAATCAGTCCATAACTTTGACTTTTTAACTAGTTGAAAAACTATGACTTCAACTAGTAAGAAAGTACATTTATTTTTTGTGCTTGTCATAAATAAGAATATTAAATATTTACCAGTGATCTAAAAAATGTTCACTGTATAGGATGAAACTTGTCTCTACTGATATTAGCTAACCATCTTTTCAACAGCTCAGGTTTGTCGAACAGAAACCTAAAAATAGTCAAATACATAATATTAATTTACACTGTATAAATATTACGTGAATTAGAGGCAAAAGCAGCTTGTGATATTAATCATTTGTGCTAAATTGTAGCATGATTCAGCAGAGCTACACTTTGTATAGCAATATAAGTTACAGAAGCTAATATCTGCTAACTAATTCAATAATTAACAGTGATTACATTGGCTTTATAACAGACCAAAAGACTCAGGAACAGTTTTTACAGCAGGGCAATAGGCCTACTGAATGCACACAGACCCTAGATTGTACTATTTGTGTCTTGTCTTGTTTTGTCTTGTATTGTTTTAGCTTGTCTTGTCTTAATGAGCTTATTTTAATTTTAAACAGTTACGTTATTAACTTTAGTTTTGGTCAGATAACATCCACATGGAGGTAAAGAAGATAAAATCTAAAATGACAGTTTTCCTGTTTCTCTTCTGTTGGTACAGCCACAACACACAGCTTTTTATCATTTTATATTCATTAAATAGCTTATATAATATAAATATTTTCATTATTATTATTAGTTTTTACAATTTTTACATAATCATCCTTTATTGTTTGCTATTTTGTCAACACATTCAGTAATGCTAAATCCAAACTTTAGCCTGTTCTGGTTAGCGCCGCAGCTGCTACAGTAAGCCACAACATCATGTGGTCTAAACCAGAGGTTCTCAAACCGGGGTCCCAGGACCCCCAGGGGTCCACAAGCTGTGTCTTGGGGGTCATCAAAAATTTTCAATAAATTAATTTGATTTTTATTTTTAAAAAATGCAAATGGGGAACAATGCACTAGTAAAACAAACATACTAAAACAAACTAAAGATAATATTCCCATAGCATTTTGGAGTATTTTTAAAACAGCGTGGGCTTTTCTAAGGGGGTCCCTGTAAATTTTCACCCATGTAAGGGGTCCCCAGACCCAAAACGTTTGAGAACCCCTGGTCTAAACACACTCCTGCCACTCTATATAACTACATGGTTTTTTACAAAAATAATTCAAAAAACAAATATTGTATGACAAACATTTACTCTGATTTCCTCCTTTACCCTAATCGTGCATCTTTCAGTGCTACATTCAGTGACTTGTCAATCACGCGGTGTSATCAATCAGATTCCAGGGATGGCAAGTGCCACCCCACTCACCCCACTGGCTCCGCTCCTGGGTGCAGCAGAATCACAGTTCAATGTTCCCTGCTCTGCACAGTTAAATATAACATCTTGTTTTTATTTATTTATTTGGAAGCGTGACATCTGCAGAAGGCAGCAATGTCCTTGGACAAGCTTGTTTCTGACACATTATTTTTATCTGTAGGCTCATCTGTCTCCACGAAGACACTTTGTAACTGAAACCAGTCTAACTTTATGCTCTGCAGATGCTTGTTACTGTGTAAATCTGGCTGCTTGTTTTGAACGCTGCAGGCTGTATGTAAAGAACATGTATATATTTAAATAAAAGCTAACCTTTTTAAAATATACCAGTCATAGAGCAGCCCATTTAAAAGGCAGTTAAACTAGACAGGATTGTGAAATCCTAGCACTTAAGAGTTCAGTGTATCAAAAGTAGACCATATTTCCCGACATTTCTCTGAGAAGCCCAAGGATCACTTTAATCTGTGGGTTTGTAAACTCTACAAGAGAGCAATAAAAGACCGAGGAGTGTTGAGCTTGTAAAACGAGGGCAGGGCAGCTTTCCTGTGGGACAGAAAGATGTAGATATTAGTTTTTCATGTCTGCAGCTCGCTTCTCTAGAATTCCCTGCTGCGGCTGCTGTAGCATTACTGCAGCTGATTAATAAGCAATATGCATGAACATAGAAAAAATGCTCCCTTTAACCAGACCCCTGCACATAAAATCGTTATATAAATTTTAGTCCTTTTTAAATTAAACCACCTCATTTATCATATTGAATTCGCAATCACTGCAATGACATTTACATTTATGTCTTCTCTAGTTTTATAGATTTAATTTGGACTGATTTTACATAAATGTTTTAGAAGCGCAGCTTTTTATTTCTCTCGATTAAGAAAACATTTAGCTGTTTATTAAGAAAAAGCAAAAATCATTATGTGTATGTGACAATTTAAGTATTTGATAGGCTGTAGCATCATCTGGGGAAAAAGAGTTTGAACACTGTTTATTATGCACATCTCAGTGCTGTATGTACATGACGTGCATGGATTCATTCATTGTTTTTTTCTAATTATTATTACTTTTTTGTCTGTTAAGTTTGACTCATCACTCTGCAGGATTGCACTTTTAGTGTTGGACTTTTTTGAATTTATTTTGTCTCATGTCTGTGTTTTTTCCAGATGATGGCACACCTAGCTGCTGCTGTCTTTTTACTACCTATAAACAGATATAAAACTACACCATTACAAGTTCTATACCCAGAACTTTGATAATATTCATCTGACCTACTCCTGTGCAGTATTGCTAGGATTGTTATGTAAACTTCTTTTGTTTGAGTTTTGTTTAATCGGAGATCCTATTTGTGCAGCCCTCCACAGATGCTTATTTGCGGGTCTTGGCAGGTGATGAAGTGGTTCAAGTCAATGACCAGATAGTGGTGAGTGATAAACTATATCCAGTCCATTCAGTTGTATTTTACTGACTGACATCAGTCACAAACCTGAGGTCAACGCGATAATGCTGGTAGAGATTTAACCTGCGCTGGTGTTTCAGGTCGGCTGGAGCAGAGCAAACCTTCTTAAGAAGCTGCAGGAGAATTCAAATGGAGTGACTCTGGTCTTGAAGAAGATCCCTGCATCAATACGGCGCAAAACCTCCATCAAGGTGTTCACTGTGCAGGTCAGCAAACATTAAAAACCTTTGATGTTACTGAAAACAAATGTGCTTCAACTTACGGCCCCCACATTCTCCAAGCTGCAAAATCGGCTCTCATTGTCACAGTTGCGTGACGAAAATTGTTCGAATAGCAACTCCACTCGCCCTTCTCAACACAAGTCTCCGGTTGAACTTATTTCTTACAGGCGAACGCACAAAGTGTCGTGTGATTGGTCAGAAGTTTTAGGGCATATATTTCTTTTACATGCAGAAAAATACTCAGGCAACAACAACAACAGTGTTTTCCTTCCAATATTTGCTTCCAGAAGTCCAACCAACTTGGATAGATTTAAGGAGCATTTGTTTGCAGACAGAAAGTTCATCTATCTATAGCCATGTTTCCATCCAATTTTAATGCAAATTTTGAGCAAATTTTTTAAAATGTTGCAAAAAAGAAATTAAATTTAGGCATGTTTCCACCTACTGGTTTGGAGTGAATTTACAAGGCTACGCAAAGTGCAGTTTTGTTACGCATGGGTGTAATAAACAGGAAGTAGAGGTTGCAAACTAACAGGGACCACACATCTCGGGACAATGGAGAGAAATTTTCAGGAATGTGTTTCTGTCGGAAGTTGTAATTGTTCTGTCACATCAACTAGTATTGACGATGTTACACGCTATCGATCCATATGAACCTGTTGTTGCTCCCTTCCATGTTTTCTCCCACTGTGGGAATATCCAGGAAGACGCAGACAGTGAAAACAGATGATCAATCATGTGAGGTAAATGTTCGCTAAACCAGAATTTATTCAACAGTGTGTTTCTATCTCCCCTTTTGTGTATAAACTCTTTTTTTTTTTGGAGAATCCAAAAACCACCTCAAGCGAGCGTGAAAACTTTTCTGCAAAATTTAGGAAGTTTTTACGAATTTTGTCATTTCTATCAACCTTTACCAATTCGATACTTCAAAATGTGCCTAAAATATCATTTATGGAAACACGTCTTAGTAAATGACAGTTTTATACACAAAGATATTCAATTGGTCACACACATAGCAGTTGGAGAGAGCACAGACATTTTGCATAAAGGGGTTTATCTTCTGAAAAGTTGGATGCTCTATCTGTGACAAATTTGTAGCCAAATGGTGGATATCATAAATGGAAGAAACCCCTGCTGTGGTGTGTACAGAAGCAGGAGGAGTTTCCTGGGATCTCTGCACCGTGTGTCTCATGAGCTATGAAAGGTGTGTGCTAACATGGACGTCAAGTTACCACTTTACTGTGAATCGACTGTTCAGCTTTGGTTCATATATATGTTGGGCTCTTCTGCTGTTATATTTTATAAACAAACATCATGCATCATAATGTAGAAATGGCAGTAGTTGATATTTTCTTAAATAAACCTAAACTAAATTATGCAGAGTCATAAAATTAAGCTCTTTGCTGTTTTGCTGATGCCTTGCTTTTAAAGGGAAAAAAATAAAATTATTTGGGATGGAACTTCTAAATAATATATAAGCTCAACTGATTGGCTCTTCATTCTCAGGGTCAGACTCTGGCTCCAACATGGAAGGCTGGATGGACAAGTCTTCCTTTGTTGACGTATTTGAATTAATTGGTAAATAAAATGTTTCTGCACTGCTATATAATGATAAATCCCTCTATAGAACTTGAATGGACCGCTCTAGGAGCTGGAGGGCATCAGGTTTGAAGCGCCTCGTTCGGATATAAAGAGACAGCCTCAAAACGAGTTGATCTGAGAGACACCTCAGAAAAGGGGTGAAAGAGGGGCTTGTGGAGTTACAATAAGGAGGAATTCTGACCAAAGTATTGCAGTTTTACTTTATGTAGACCCCAACTGAGTGATTTAAATTTGAAAAAGAAGGATTTAAAATCATGAGATGTCTCCTTTAAGTTAGCAAAAACCTCTCAGGATCTGAAGTCCAGCAGCTGTTTGCATATTTATTGCCAGGGAATCATGAGCCGTTAATTCACAAGAAGTCTTCATCAATTTCCAGTTATTATCATTTGGGATTTGTTTCCATAAACACACGCTAGCTATCACTATGTTGATTGTTTGTTTATGAGCAACACACTGAAACCCATGCAGCGTCTGAGGCGAGTTTACGCACACACACACACACACACACACACACACACACACACCCAACATTTCACACCCCCTTGTGACCATTACCATGATAATCTCAGAACTAGCTGGCGGCTTGGGGTGAGAGAAAACCTCAGAAGATGGGAATCAGCTGAGTGTATCGGCTCCATATTGCCCCAAGAAGATGGCCTTGATATTATTGTTTCACAGATTTGTGTGTGTTTGTGTGTGTGTGTGCAGCTGGAGACCTGAGGAGAGTGGCTACATTCACAGTCCACATGACATTCGCCAAATACGCAAACACTCAAACGTCAGCGTGCACACTCACATGCTTGGGTTTTTGTCTGATTTGTTCCTAGACAGAGGAGAGGGAGGAGGAGGAGAGAGAAGAAAAGTCGGAAGAGGAAGAGGAGACGGACAAGGAGGAGAGCACACGGCACTCCATACTTGAGAGGGTGGCAGCCTCTGTCAGGTCCCTGTCTTTTCGGTACAAATATTATCCTGTTTACCTCTAATACCGAACAAGAATTAGTTAGTATGCAGATAAAATAAATTCTAAATAAATTTCGGCTACAACAAATTTTTGTATAACGTCAGACGCACACAAGCTCTTGCAAAAATATTACAACTATTTTTGGGCGATTTCTAATCATCCTGCTTGTCCAAAAAATGTTTCCAAAATTTTCTAAAGAACCCCCCCAGATTTAATAGTATATCTGTCCATAAACAAAAACACTTTTTATGAGGCGTCGCCTTGTTTTATTATTTCCACCAGATTATTTGTGGGCGTTTGTTGGTTAGGCACAAGTTTAAGAAACCTCCCAGCAATGGTTTCACTCTGTACCCACACAAGCAGGTGGCAGTGTTGTCTCAGGATGAGGCTCTGCAAACAGGAAGCAGAAGAAGAAGGCTTAGCTCATAAATAAAACCTAAATTCAGAAGCTGAATTTATGTGTTCTGGCAGAAAAAAATATTTTCAACCAAGTATTTCTTGGATTTACTAGGTAGAACAGATTGTTCCAACATGTTTTAGTTGTCTGAACCAGAGGTTGTGATAGACTTGTGCCCTTCATTTTGACTGACAGGGTCAAAATATATCCCGTCATAATCCGTTTTTTCCTGTCACCTTATTTTTGTAAATGATAATAATTAAACTTTCTATATCATTTATTTCCATTCATTTAAATTAATATTCTCTTTGAACAACCTGAATTGATTTTAAACCTGACTGAGGTCGGTGAATGTCATAAACTGGGATGTTTATTAAACCGTCATCCTTGATTTATTTATTTTTTACAATTACCACTGTATAACAAGTAGGCTTGGACAGTATGACAGTATTTTGGTATACAGCGGTATCAAAATATGGTGACTGTATTTAAAAATTAGGACAGTATTAATCACAGGAGGTGATGCTCCAAATTTCTACAAGGCTGCTATGAAAACTGGGACATGAACATTCCAGACTCTTTCAGAAGATGTCCCATAATGTTAGTGTTGCTTGTTCTGGCTACCTTGGTCCATTCAGAAGACAAACGGGGTGGACAGTGACACCAAAGTCTGTCGTGCTTCTTACTCCTAATTTACACTACATGCGGTCTACTCCTGATTTACACTACATGTGGTCCGACTTCTGCAGCAAATACGCACCCATTATAATCAATGAGAGTGTTTACACTGGCTGCGCACGGCGGTGGTGAGCAGACGGCGAGCCGTCAAAATTAGATCCGATCCTATTTCTGCTGGACGCCGAAGCTGCGCCGGAGTCAGTTTTTAAAGATTACATCGCACCATCAGGAAAAGAAATGAGCACAACATCTGTATTTTCAAAATAAGACACTATTAGCCTGGATAATTTGTCGGAATAATGTCGAAATTGCAGCTATATTAATAAATATATGGATATATTTCTACACAAATGCTGTCAGAATGTATCGTTCAGTTTGGAAAGCAGATGGAAACATGTAACATGAAGCATATGTGCACACACACGATACACGTGGATTTTATTTTGAAATCAGGAGTTTCAGAAAGACAACAGCGAGACAGTTTCAACATAGATATCAAAAACCTTTTATATCGTTGTTTTCAGCTGTGTTTAGAGTTCGTCTTTCACAGAATTAATTATTTTTTTGCTCTGACTTCCACATCACTGGATTTATCACGTGATCTCCTTCCTGAACACTCGGTTGGACCTGAGCGGACGCTGTATAAATTGAGACACAAACGAACAGCTGCGACCTGCGCACCGCAGTGCAGCGGAGCGGAGACGCATGTAGTGTAAATCCAGGGTTAACCTCTGTGCAAGGTAGTAATGGAAATGTTACTTACCAACTCCTGAAAAGGTGGGCCTGTGTAATGTTGACTGACAGCTTCTGAAATAATTACAACATTTATTGGCACAAAAACTGGGTAAAAGTACTGTATTTATTCATGTATAATACGATCTCGAGTATAATACGATCATCATTTTTTGAGCTTACAAGAGCATAAAAATCTATTTATCAATCAATAACTCGGATATAATATTATCCCCCCACTTTATGGATGATTTTTGGGTTAAATTTCTAGTATTATACATGAATAAATACAGTATGCAGCAGTGCAAATATAACTGTGATAAGAGTCAGATTATTTTGAATTTAGTTAAATATTAATTACTCAACGCGCCACAGACTACAATCCCCACATCCAGGTAATACTGTATATGGCAGCATGAAAATGATAAATACCACCCAACCCTGATTGCGAGTCTTTTCTTTTTTTCGAACCTCTGCTGTCGTAGCCTCCAATTCACCACTGACCATATTCTTTGTCTGATACATTGGTGCTTTGTTGCAGGCGAGCCATTCAAGAACAGGAGCCACCTCAGCAGCCTATGGGACAGGAGGAATCAGAGTTGCCCTTTGACAAGGAGCTGGAGGGGAGCCTGACTGTACATTCAAATCAAAACCAACCAGGGAGGTTGTCACCCCTGCCAGCCTCGGGTGCAAACAATTTTCCAGCATCCTCAGCAGGTTTGTGATTTCTTTTTCTGTTCTTAAGGCGGCGTGTAAAAGAAATGCTTTTGTGTTTCCTGCCATCGCCAAACGTATACAAAAACAGAATTTAGTCTGAAATCTCTTGCTCGTTCTTAGTTTCAAGAGGCCATTATTAAAACAGAGCAGACACACAAACAGCAAGAACAAAAGAAGTGTCGCCTGATGCTGAGGTTTGTATACCAGCAGTGCTCTTTTTTTTACACTCCCATCATCTTGAGCCAACTACATCTTCAGAAAAGAACATGCCAGGATGGAAATCTTCAGATTTGTATGTCCTCTGATAAAATCCTAAACAAAATAATTCTTGTTAAATGTGGTAAATTGATATTAACTTCCTGCAATTAAAGGTTGTGCGTTACTTAAAGGACCTGTCATCTTTAAAGGGATCCATGATTAGTTGTAACATTACACTTTATTTAAAAAACATYTATTTTAACTGTAAAATAAAGACTGTAAAAATACTGTAGGATGTTCAGTTTTTATCATTCTTAAACTAAAAGTAAAAAAATATATTACATGGACAGGGCCATTTTATTTACACACAAAGCATTCTGGGTAAATGATGACGTGGATAGGTCCTCAGTGTGAGGTTGCTAGCGAGCTATAGCCACCCTGAAGGTTAATCTTGGACAATATCTGATGATCGACTCTTTTAAATGAAACCAGAGAGCGTTGACAGAGAGGAGAAGYTAGAAATGACTCAGCCTGVAACTGAAAATATYGATGGAGGACAACAGAGCTGCTTCATGGAAGAAGAACCTCAGCTTAACCTGTTAGCTTTAGCATTAGCCCCGATGCTATCACCATATATATGTATTAGCTCAGCGCTACACATTCTCCTCTCGTCACTGAGGTCCTCCATCCACATGAGAGAGAGGGGAACACAAAAAATGACTCAGCCTGAAATGGAAAATATGGATGGAGGACCTCAGTTTAGCTTGTTTGTCACGCTAGCACAATATAGCGTCGGCGCTAGCACGAAGGCTAACAGGCTAAGCTGAGATTCTTCTTCCATGAAGCAGCTCTGTTGTCCTCCATCCATATTTTCAGTTGCAGGTTGAGTCATTTCTACCTTCTCCTCTCTGTCAACACTCTCTGGTTTCATTTAACAGAGTCGATCATCAGATATTGTCCAAGATTAACCTTCAGGGTGGATATAGCTCGCTCACACTGGGGACCTATCCACATAATCATTTACCCAGAATGCTTTGTGTGTAAATAAAATGGCTCCGTCTGTGTAAAAATATATTTTTAAAAATTTACAAAACTAAACAGCCTACAGTATTTTTACAGTCTTTATTTTACAGTTAAAATAAATGTTTATCAAATAAAGTCTAATGTTACAACTAGTCGGGGGTCCCTTTAATGTTAGAGTTTTATTTGAATGTGTCAATAAATAGCAGAATGGTGCAGTTTGACAGGTTTTTTTCAGGATCTTTGTCTTCATGCGTGTTCCTCAGGAGAATTTCGGAGTATAGGAATTTTGAGACTGTCGCCGAGCCTCCGGAGAGATCGCTCGCCCTCGTTCAGGAGGAGCGTGTCACCTCTCACACTCACAAAGGAAAGGGCGAGCTTCTCGTCCTGTCCAGAGATGGTGGGGCACACGGTGAGAGGAAATGAGGAAAACTCATCTCTTAGCTCAATCAGCTCTTTAGGGATTTAATAAAGAAATAATTAAGAAACGAAATCTTAATAATTGTTGTCTTTTTATTTCCAGACAAATAAAGAGACCAAGAAGAGTTCCACCAAAGGTAATCTTAGGGTCATGAAATAATCATTTTAAGTGAACACGGTGACAGAAACAACCAGTCTGATTAAATTCATCCCAGTGTTCCATGGCTCCGTTATTCCTGACAGAGTTGATCAATACGGGTCATGATCCACATAAAAAATCAATAGCTGCAGAGCCCGCTCGCCTTTTTTTTTCTTCTTAAATTTGTGGTTTTCCAGGAATGACCACGTCTCTGAGCCGGCGCCGGGTGTCCTGCCGTGAGTTGGATCACCCCGACTGCGACGGCTGGCTGTGGAAGAAAAGAAGGGAGAGCAGCGTCTTCATCACCCAGAAGTGGCAGCGCTTCTGGTTTGTCCTCCAGGGGCCCATTCTTTACTGGTACAACAGCCAACAGGTGGGCAAAACCCAAGTTTCAATAAGAAGCATTTATTTCAGATTTCACTCTGTATTTTATGCAGCCTATTTTAATACAATCTGTTAATGARTGTTGTTTCTTCAGGATGAAAAGGCGGAGGGTCTGCTTAACATCGCCAGCTACAARGTAGAGAGTGCTGGAGAGCACAAGAGAAAATAGTAAGATCTATAGAAATGAATGCTGAGGGAATTTGATGAAAAAACCTAAAACTGAGTCGTTTAAGCTAAGTGTCATAAGACAAAAACAGAACAAATAGACTGAAGTAGATTTCAAAAAGCTTAATTTTTTTTTTTATGAAATGAAGATCTCAAAGTGTTTCTTAGGGACAAAACAAAAAAAATAATGTTTTGAGAAGTTTAACACAAAAAAACAAATGCCAACGCTGGAATGTCATGACATGTTTGAATAAAAAATTTGATTAAAAATGTGCAAGAAGTGGATATATGTCTAAAAAGAAGAAAAAACAAAGAATAAAGAAAAACAGGATCACAGAAAGCTGAATGCTGATTCAGCATAATGTTTTTATTTATGACTTCTTTCTTACATTAGCCTGATAGATTTGGTCATATTTATTTTTATTACCATACCATCTTTATTTATAGAGCACTTTAAACACCCACAGGACCAAAGTGCTGTACACATAATAAAACATGCATACATTCATAAAATCTATAAAAACAACACTGCAAATTGTGTTCAAAGACCAGAGAGAAAAAATGAGTTTTAAGGAGAGATTTAAAAACAGGGACGACGCCTGTCTGATGTCCAATAATTAATTAATAACTATGATGTCAAAATAAAAAGTGAGGGACATTTGTCTACCTCCATAATTGAAGTTTTTTCTGTCAGTGTCTGATTTTTTTTTACCATCACCAGTCTAAATGTTCTCTCTCCACCAGCGTTTTCCAAATGTCTCATCGGAAATTTCAGAACTTCTTCTTCGCTACTGAGACAGCCACAGACTTGAGCAAGTAAGTGGAAAATCCTGAATAACTCTGTATAAAACAATACCAAAAACAAGATTAAAGGCCCATCATTGAAGGAATGCATGTCACCAACTGTCTGTAATACAAGAGTTCACTTAGATCACTTAGCTGTGGTAGTCATCTTGAATTAGGTAGATCCCAAAAACAGTTGTAGATGTACATTTAATGATTACTTCCTGAAAGTTTTGTTAAAATCCATTTAGTAGTTCATGAGATATTTTGCCAGCAGACGTATAGTTGGCACCAACGTTTAATTGCAAAACTTTAAACAAATGCTTTTTCCACTGTTATGGTCTTTAAGGGTTGCTTTAGTGAGCAAACGTGCATGAAATATTTAGCAGAAACCTGGGTTTGAACCTGCAGCCTTGGGATTATATTACCTCAGCACTGACCACTTATCTACTAAAGCCCTGCAAAGTTTTAAATGTGTTGCTTTATTTATTTTTAGCGGTCAGAGAATGTGTTGAGGCTAAAAGCTCTCCAGATTTTAGCACATCCTCTGTAAAATTGACCGAGTTGCAYCCYTTTATGTGTTGGGTGAATTTGATWCGCCGTYGTGGCCAMCTTGAATTGGGTTGACTTTAAATGTTAATCAGTTGCAGATGTGCCTCCATTGATACATTATGAGGACTTTTATTAAAATCTGTTTAGTGGTTTCCGAGATATTTTGCTAACGGACAGACATGCACACTTGGGCAAAACCGTTATGGACTGCTTTCTACATTTTGGTGGCTGTAAAATAATGAAGGTTTCTAGGTAACAGCCTGGATTACGTTTGATGCTTCAGCTTTATAAAACGATGCTGTTCATTCATTTCTTTTGCTTCTTGTTTATAAAAATACTAACTTGGACTGTGGTGGGTGTTGGTGTGCACTGCCCCCTGCTGTTTGTTTTATTTATTTTCACTGTGAGAAACAACTATGTGTATTAGAACTCTGAACACAACAGAAACAAAACATATGTATAATAAATAAATAAATCTAATACATAAATTGTGACGTATTGATGTGATTTTTTTTTTTCTTTTTGGTCTCCAGGTGGATTAATTGTCTGATCACTGCCACTCAGAAACACAGAAAGCTACAAAAAGGTCCAGATAGTGAAGAAGGTGAGGAAACATTTCTTTGTCTTACTTCAGATTGTTTCGGGCTTTGATATTTTAATTTATGCTAAGGTTGAGGTGGCAACAGCAATAAGGGGAAACAAATAATMGTCACTCATGTTATGATTATGAATGACGAGGAGTTACACGTTACCAGACAACAAAGCTGTTTCGGTGGTTACCTGGCTGTCAACTAAAAGTACAGTGGATGTGAGTGAATATAGGTAATGATCTTGTTGCAACTCTTTCTTTAATGTTTTAACAGAATGTTACAGTGAAACCGAGTCAGAGGGCGAATCTTCTCCTTCACCTCGCAGGAAAAACAAGGTCAGTGCAGTGAAAACACACAAAAACACACTCTGAACATAAACACACTCTGACGTGCGGTCAGACTCGCATCTAAAAGTGATCGTGTTTTTCCATTTAGCCTCAGTTTAACACGGTGCCTCGAACCAAAGGAAAYCCAAACAAAGTGCCAGCAGAGGGCAGCAAAGGAACAGGTTTGTGGTTTCTGTTTTTATCTGCTCACGTCTCGCTTTCTCTCCTGTTGCAGCAATCTAAAATGAGGGAATAAGCCTGGATTATGGTGTGAACCTAAATGAATTAAGCTTTGAGTTGGTTGCATGAYAGAGGAAGCACACTTTTTTCCATATGTGCTCTGAAATGAACCTGGTCCTGACCAGGTTTAAAGTGGAGCTTATTTAATCTGAATGTTTCTGAGCATTAACAGATTAAAGCATTTAAAGCGTTGGCGGTCACTTCACTGCAAAAACTGTTCATCTTAACCAAGTTTTACAATCTTATATCAGCCAAAAAGTAGTTTTGATCTTGTTTTTAGACCGATACACTAAGCAAGTTCAGAATGTTGGAWAATTAATTTTGCTAGCCTGAAAAGTTTTCTTTATTTCAAGAAGTCTTACCAAGTGCAACTGTCAAACTGCAGATTATTAATTAGTATTTATTTGAAAAGATTCAAAGTATA